TCACGAACAGCGAAAGCTAGAGCAGCATTCGCCAACCTCACCTCCAGCTGTGATCAAGCCCCCGAAGTACTTAAAGCTCTCGACCATTTCCAGCTAATCACCACAGAGAATGAGTGCAGGCACAGGCTCCTGCCAGTCTTGAACCAGCACTTTGCACCTTGATGGTGCAAAGCACATACCATACCTGGATACCTCTATCGCCAGGTGGTGTAAAGCTTGTTGGACTGCCTGTGCATTTTCACCCAACAAGGCGATGTAATCGGCATATTTTAACTCAAGAACTCTGTTCCCTGTGAGGGGTTTGATTCCTCCGTCTGCTAGACCGGACAAANCTATGGCGAAGTTGAAAAGGAATGGGGATATAGGACAGCCTTGCAGAACTCCAGTGGAGACGGCGAAGGGTGGTGAAAGCTGGCCTGAAGCCCCAACCCCACCTGAGATATGGCGATACAACTCTTTGCGGATCGAAACATACTTCTCTGGTACTCCATTCATCAACAACCACCTCCATAGTACGGTCCTATCAACAGAATCGAAGGCCGCGCGAAGTTTTAGAACACAATGATCGTTGGTCCACGGTAAGCATGACGGTGCTCAAGCGACTGTCGGAGGGTGAAGGTTTGATCGATGCAGCCACGACTGGCAGGAAACTCAGCCTGCTCCTCACGGGCATGTTGCTCGCGCGTTTTGCACAATCTACGAAGAATAACAGACGCCAACAGCTTTGACGCTATTGGAATGAGGCTTATACCCCTTGTAAAGGCACTGGGACTGATTAGGGTACGACGGAATTGGTCTCCAACGCTAATTTTTCCATGTTGGTGACAGCCGGTACCGTTACATATGAAAGATAGGTTCGAGTATCCCAGTGTGACATCATATGATTTCAACTGTGCGCACAGTTGCCCAAAATAACTGTGACGCCAGACAAAGTCTTTCACGAATTATCTCCGAACAGGTTCAAGGGAGTGGGACCCGATGGCATTCATCCCGTTTTCGTTAAACCTCTGACGGGGATACTCCAAGGGCCTCTGACAAAGCTGTTTCTCGCATCTCTAGACAAAAGCGAGATTCCGGATGTTGGAAAGAGCGACGGTATTTGCTCTGCATAAAGCTGGGTCAAAGGAAAAGGTCAAAAATTGTAGACCTCTAGTGATTAGGTGGTTGCTGATTGTTACAGTCGCAATCAAGCTAACCCGTAGTTAACCCGGAGAACAAGGCACAGAACACGTATGGTCCAGAGCACGTCGCTTTACTGAATGAATCATGCGTCACATGAGAATCTACAATAGGACAATGACTAACAGGTCAACCAATAGGAATGAGTTGTGGTGTCTGTGTGCGTGTGCGAGCGGGCGAGCGCCCGCTTGTGTGCATGAGTATGTGGGTGACGTAAACACCGGTCTTCCTCTGAGAAATAAGCACCGGCGAGTGGGGCGGAGAATTGATCGATGGCATAATTGACGTTGACACATGCCACACTGATGTTCATCAGAAAATGTCACTAATGTTTGCTCACGGTTTTTCTGGATATCCGTACCAAGAGGAAACAGAACCAAAGATCGGGATTGTAAAAATGATATATTCTGAAATTTCCGAAATGTTTGGCTATGCCTTGGCTGTTATTTTAGCAACAGCAGTGGAAACCTGAAAGTAGATCTGATCAATCCAAGAAAAGCGTGCGATACAGAGCTCACCATGGGGAATTGTGTCAGTGCGGTCTTTCCGAGCTCATAAAAAAACCATAATAGTTGAAGCAAAACCTAATCCTGATAATGTTCAAGTTGCTGTATCTAATTAAGAAGCTTTCCCTGGAAGATAGCTATCGCCAAATAATGGCGATACATGTTAAATTTCGATGGTACACTTGATTGTACCCGGTAGCGAAGAAGGGTCCTTATGTTAGAAGGAATAGATTAACGGTAGTCTAGCTTTTTAATAATCTACCTGATCGAGAGGCTAAGCCGCTACTTGATATCTGAACCGTGATGGTCCTGATAAGTATGCTATGGTTATGTAACCATGTCCTGATAGTCCTCAATTATACAGGACTGTTTAGAAACTGAACCTGTCCTGATGCTAGTCACCAGCGTAGGGTGAAGGTGCTTCTGGTCCGTGATTTGATGATCACGTTCATCTTGAATGGATCATTCGGGAAACGTAGAAAAAAGCAAGAGGGAGGAAGAGAAAATTGCCGTTGCGAAACTGTCGGTTGAAGAACCACTACAAACCAGTAAGTCTGATGTCGGTCCTGTGCAAATCCTAGAAAGGATTTTACATAAGCATATGGCCCCGTACCTAGTAGAGCATGAGCTACTAACGCCAGCTCAACATGGCTTAAGAGGAAATCATGCTTATCGAATCTGCTAGCCTTTCTCGATGAAGTCACACGGCGCTTATACGAGGGTGAGCATGTCGAGGTCTTCATCTTTATGTATATAAGGCAGAAGCCATCCGTGTATGAGCCTCTTCACCGTCGGTATCCACAGAAACCCACTCACTTGTCTGCAAGTTGCCACCGTCTCACCAAGTGCTCGTGGACACGTTTGAATCACGCCTCGTTCTGCTCCTCCGCTACCTCCGACGGGAGTGAATTCCAGAGAGTAGTCATCCTCCGGGAAAGGCAATAAATCAAAGGAATCCCCGTCGACTCCATCTTCCGGAGAATAAGCCTGTGGTCGCGTGTCCGGTAGCAGTCTCGTAGTGGAAACACAGCACGTAGTTCCGGTCCCAGATCCCCACGAAGAATCTTCCACAGATATATCCAAATCCCCGCAGAGTCTCCTGTAGCTAACCGGGAAGAGTCCAAGTGCTTGAAGCTGACTCTTATAGTTGATCCCACTAAGTCCTGCGACTAGTCGAGTGGCGTAGCGCTGTACCCGTTCGAAGTTTGTCATTTCGGAAAGCGTGCAGGGATGTACAGCTATCTGCTACCTGGACTTCGACTCCGTAAGTCATCAGGGGTTAAACCAAAAATGCAATTCCTGGGAATTGGGGGAAAAATTGGAGAGCGGATAAACTGCTTTATAACAAACCGCACCTTCCAGGTCAAGATTGCTACGCACTTATCGGTGCCGACAAACATGATTAGCAGTGTCTCTCAGGGTTATGTGCTAGGCCCACGCTATTCCTGATGTTCGTCAATGACCTACGACGGGAAATCAACAATCCGTGCTTCATGTTCTCGGACGACTTGAAGGTGGCTGGAGCAAATGTATATCAGGACCTGCAGGCCGTTATACGATGGTAAAAAAGTGGAATCTTCCTCTCAACCTATCNGCTTCTCACGGCAGAAGTTGAACTTGACAATCAGAATGGAATCCATCTCAAGAGAGAAAGAGAAGTTGGGGACCTGAGAGTCGTTATACCATACGACTTCAAACCTTCAGAGCAATGTCAGAGGGCAGCCAACATAGCTTGAATGGAATGCCTACACTCCACGATTACTTGTAGGAGACCCGAGGTTCTCATCCCTCTATATAAGTTCATAGTTAGGCCACACTTGGAATATTGTGTTCAGGCATGAGCACGTTACTCTCGAAAGACATCCGATGTCTAGAAAGAGTGCAACGTTTGGCTACAAGGATGATGGTAGAACAAAGAGAAAAGAGTTACGAATAGAGGCTCAGGAATCTTAATGTGTTCTCGCTGGAAGGGGGAATCATGGAGGACCTCTTAGAAGATTTTAAGATCATAAACGGTCTCTCCGGACTCAAGTCTGATGATAAGTTCCAATTCGTCCCTTCAAGTGGTACTACGGAGCATAGTTTAAGGCTGCAACTTAGTCTTGCAAGGTTGGACATCCGAGCGAAGTTCTTTACAAGTCGCGTAATACCGTACTGGAATATTTTACCCGAAGATGTAATTTGCTCGAACGTCATTGCCTTTAAGAGGGGCTTAGATGATTGCTGGCTTCCATATTCCCTGAAACAGCTTAAGGTCAAGTACCCATTAGTCCTGAGCGCCATTACCTAGGACGTGATACTGCACATCACAGTTTGCCTTTCAGAAAAAAACCTATTGACTCACAGTGTTGGAAGCCACAAGATCAACTAACAACACATTTATCTGGACGCAGGATTGGCCCGGGCCACATAGTCGTGTGCAAACTGAACTGAACTGAGGAAGCTTTTCACGGCTGACGTCACCCGCCGGCACCCCTCTCTAATCTCGTTTTTAGTGAGCTTTACTCCTATTTTAAATTAGTTTTGCCGTTTTTTGTGAAGTAATTCTCGAATATTAGGCAAAAGAATATAATTTTCTGTTAAAAAGGCGACCACCTGTAAGGACACAATGCAATCTATTAGTACTCGGGTATTTGGGATTAAAACCATTAAAAATGCACATTCCTCAATTTTCTTCCACAATTTAATCATATAAAGCATTGTAGCATTGATAATCAAAATATGTATTTTTGTGATTTTTAGAAAAAATCCATAGATTCTTTTATATAACTGATAAATGTGGAGATATCAATAAACTCAAATATTCTCTACAAGGAGCAAATATTGGAGCAAAGTATGTATATGCGCATCAGCTATACGCCTACAAAATCTTTTACAATATTGTAGGAGAAACATATGCTTCTCTTAGCGCACACTTTAGGATATAAATTCCCTTGTTCCGACAGATTAGACCAGGGATGTTGTCAGTATTAATAGCCTATCTCGTTCCTCCGTCTCAGCCACAAAATGAATACGATACTGCAGCTAAAAAGCAGAACAAACGGCTGACGTGCTGTTAGATGCATATCTAATAGCACGTCAATCGTCAATCGATAGACATCTATAGAGTAACGTTACTCTGTATTCTGTGGAATTGACACCGGAGAATTTACCTGGAAATCCATCTTTGGTGATCTGGAGTGTTGGAATACCGGACGGTTGATGCACGGTAAGACATTCACACCCACTCGCACAAGGAGCGACAATCCATTGAATGCCGTTGGCTCTAGCAGCTAGTCCTGGGATCTGATCTGATCTGAGTTTTGGACTCCAAAGCAACGCGCTGAAGACTCGACGATCTAAAGATCGTCTCTCATGACTCTTGCTTGCAAGCGAGAAGAACATGTTCATCTTCCGTGCTCACTGTGTTCGACCAGTTCAGTTCAGTTTTCACAGGACGGAAGCAGTCCAGACCTATCGTGCATCCCTCGGTAGCTCTATTGCAACACGATACCATTTGCCTACGAGTCATTTTCCACTCAAATTGGGCTTCTCTTTTACCGGGTACAATTACCTGTTTACGTTCAACCGCGGAATTGTCACGTGTCCCGGTGAATCACGCTACTTCGTTGCACGTGTAACCCTTTCCCTACAGGTCTCGCTCTATAAACCTTTGTTCACGCGTTGTCCGTCTCCTTACTCGTGCAGAGCAATAGTCTTATTACTCTTCACCGTATTCACAAATGTTGGTGTCATTCGCACTTAGTTATCATAGATAGCGGTAGCTATCTAAAGCCCGTCCGAGGCATTGGATATCTGATAAGTCAGCGACACTGACGAAAAAGCGGCAGATTCCGACCGCCCGGGATCAAAGCGGGGCGGGTAGGTGGTGTTTACAGTGACAGCTCATGAAGAGCCTCACGAAAAACGCTGGAAAACGCTGGGCAACAGCAGCTAATGAAATGGAGGCAGCTACTGCATCAGAGAATAGCCAAAAACTATTCCAACCGTTACGGAACACGGCAGGTCAGTGAACCAAAGTTAGTGAGGCAATCTACGACAAATGTGGACAAGCTATTCACAATAGAGAGTATCGGCTTGACCGGTGGGCGGAGTACTTCAACAAACAGTTAAGCTAAGCAGGTGCTAACCAGACTATCTCGTCGGTTGTAGTCGAGTCTTAAAAGGCATTACCATGTGAACCTCCTGCTGAAGCAGAAGTACGATATAACATCCAAGCCATTATAAAAGGAAAACCAACAGGGACCTTACGAGATCCCTGCCACTCTTTCAAAGATGTGGGGCAATAGCCTGGTAGATTCCAATACTGACTTAATGCGTAACATCTAATCACAAGAGCGCATTCCATCATCCTCGAACGGATCATTGGTTGTTGCAGTTTTCAAGAAGGGATCTCGCAACGACTGTTCAAACCACCATGGAACAAGTTTGATCTTATTCGTCATCAAGGTATTAGTCTCTGTCATACTTCGACGTCTAACATCCTTCAGGGGAACAAATATCCGAGAACAACAAGCAGGATTTCGACCAGATTGTGGTTGTATCGACCAAATACTCACGCTGCCCCAAGTCCTCGAACTACGCCTTACACACCCGTTGACCCAGGGTTGTCGTGTTCCTTGACCTAAAAGGAGCATTCGACTTAGTTGACCGCGAATCCCATATAGGTTCGATCCTTTGAAAAGGAATGCCTCGCAAGTAATTAAACCTAATGCGGTCGCTGTATCTACAAACTTCGGGTAGCTCAATGGTCTTCGGTGAGCTAAGCAAGTCTTTCGAAACCAGCAGCGGTGCCCTATTTCGACATTTTTGTTCAGTTTCTTCATAGATGAGATACTGGAGAATGCATTAGGTGGTTTCCAAAATGTTGGTATTGGATGAGCGGCTGGAGAAAAGATGTGCTATTTGGTGTACGTTGAGGATGTTGTTTGCCTGCTCGAATGCATGTAGGATGCACAAAGTGCTATTGATAAACTAGCACGTTCTGGTGCTCCTTTCGGTATGCAATTCAGTTCTTTTTGTACAAACCATTAACCATGCACTTTCGTGCGCCGGTTTTGGTTGTCTTCTGGCCGTCCCTTTATATATTATTATTATATTTCACACTTGTCTGAGGACAGACTGTGCCAAGAAAATCATGGTACAATAATCTTTATAAAAAAGAAAAAACGTTCCTTGATTGGCCGCCCCTTTGGATGAACAGTAGGAGAAAGACAAGAAAGTTGAAAGTAAAGCCGAATAGGAAATGGAGAATTTCAGTGGACTAATGTTGCAAAGCAATTGAGAAGATACACGAACCCCACTGCTTACGAAACTCAGCCATATCACTCAGTGCTGATAAAAATCGGTTACGATCGTCCCGAGGTCCCCAGCCAAGGAGGCTAACGGGACCTATGTAATCCAGCCTCCTGGTTAGGGTTTTCATAGCTTCATGCCAGGTCTTAGCTTGACCATTCTTGGCTTTTTTCTACCCACTACCTGTCTCGACGAACATCGCTCGCCATGGCAACCTATTTGGTGACATGCGTANNNNTCTATGGAGGTCGACCACTTGCTCCAGTGGGCTACCGCGATTACCTAAAACTCTACGCCTTACCTCAGCATTTTCTCTTCCGTTGCCCCGTCAGATTCGTGGGATGCTGCGCAGTCATCGGTGTTCAAACACCGACAGTTTATCTGTATCCTGTTTTTCTCAATGGCCAAGTTTCTGCGCCTTATAGAAGAACTGGTCAAACTGCCGCGGCATACACTCGACTCTTCACAGACAGCAGGACGTCACGATGGTGCCACAGATATCTCTAGTTGGCAAATGCCAACCGAGCCTTCTGTATGCGAGCTGACGGTTCATCCGTGATGCCTCCACCGGGTGAGATGTAGCTGCCCAGGTAACAAAACTTATCCAGCTGCTCTACTACTTCCTCCGTTGTAGTAACATTTTACACTTTGAAGGTGCAAAACGCATACCAAACATGGCTAGACTAGCACTCCAACTATCAATATGCGCATTGCACCTTTAAAGTGCAAAATGGTGCAGTAAAGCTGGGTGTCACCGAGTCCCGTTCTGAAACTAGGCGGTCAGGACTTAGCCGAAGTTGACTGCTTCTCGTACTTGGACCGCGACCAGCAACGGTAGCGCATCTTAGGAGATAAATACCCGCATTTCCAATGCTCGAGCTGCATACACAGAACAAAAACACCGTTGACGACGAAGTGACGTTTCACTGAAGTTGAAAAGTTACGTATATTGCGCCACTGTACGATCGGTTCTGGTTTACTGTTGTGAGACCTTGAATTCACGGATAGAAGACATCCGTTGCTTATTGATTTTCGAGAATCAATGGTTACATAGTCTGGCCCAGGTTGTATGGAGTGAGCGAACTACTAACCTAGAAGTAAGTCGTTGGGTGTTTGGAAATGAGTCGAATATGAACTCGCTAGCGAATAAAATTCAGCTCAATAATCTCCGTTTTGTGTGTCTGACGATCGCCTAGCGCATCGCGCCTTATTTGCAGTGGCCGATGCAGACAGGAGAAAAACACGTGGAGTTTAACAGATGATGTGGAGACGAGGTATGAAGAAATGCACACAGCGATTAGGTAGAGTAGGTATCTCTCATCTAGGCTGAGGTTCAGAAGACTCCGCAACTGGATTGGTGGAGACTCTGAAGGTCATGGCAGCAAACCGACAGCAGTGGTGATCTTGCTATCATTTCTTATCAGATCAGAATGCCTGAAACGGTGTGTATGCGCAGTTGGACTGTGTACTCTGTGCGTCGACCATAGAGCTTTTCTTTCTTTTTCCGTCCTTAAAAGTAGGCCCAATCGCCCTTCATCCTGTACTTTATCACTTAATTAGTATACATTGTGAGCTTGGCAGCCATCTGTGAAGTTTGCTTCACTGTATTACGCTGTACGATGACGATCAGTCTGACGGCACACTGATTCATCATCAAGAACATTTTCGGCAAATTTCAGCTGGCTCCCGTTGACACTAGACCTTATATACCTGCTTTAACTGCTGACATATTGCCGGTTATTATCAATCCTTCATATGAAATTGAGGTTACTTGGGAAGTAAATGTTGCCAAAGGNGGAAAAAGTTCCAACTGAATAGTGTGAATCAATCATCATACCGACTTGCAAGAGAGGTGACAGATCCTGTTGTGAAAACCACAGAGGAATTCGGTTGATCAACATTATTTAGGAAGTTTTTGCAAGCGAAATACTCCATCGACTGTCTGCTGCACGTTAACGATTCTCTCATGAGAACCAGGCTGGTTTTAGACCCGGTGAAGACCGTTTCGATCAAATTTTCACTTTTCGTCAAATTCTAGAACACAGACACTACTTTCTTAGGCCCACCATTTCTGTCTTTCTTGATCTGAAAGCGTCTTAGGACTCGTTCGACCACTCTATACTCTGGACCTGCCTTTCCCTACACGGCGTGTCAGAGAGGTTTAGTTTAGTATTATGATCCTTGTATACTAATAGCCGAAGCCGAGTTCGAGCTTACGAAACTTTTTCGCCTGAGTTCACCAGGGAGTGTGGTGTCCGTCAGGGTTGTCCTTCCTCTCCTTTTCCGTTTTAACTTCGTTATAAATTTGTTTATGGAAATAGCTCTGTCCTCCTGTGAGGATAGCGACATCAATTTGCTCCCAGAAGGCAGACTGTCTGATATGGTGTATGCCGACGACATTTCAGTGTCCATTTAAAACCCAGATAAGTTGCAAGCTTTTCTGGATAGTTTGAGTGCTACTGTAGCTATGTTCGGCGTGCGTTTTACACTTCCAAAGTGTAAAATGTTGCTACAGGATTGCGCTGTTCCAGCACCCTGCTTCTCTCTAACTTGAGAAATGATAGAGCAAATCGCCGAATTTTGTTAATTAGGCAGCTATGCCTCACCCGGCACGGATACAGAAGACTCGATTGCCATTTGTCAAGTTGAGACATCTCTGGCGTCGTCTCCACATCCGGTTGTCTGTGAAGGGTCCGTTAGCCAGAGCTGCTATATAGCGCAGAAACTTGACCATTACCGAAACAAGATACAGAAAGATTGATGGTATTCCACTACAGCTGTCTACACCGCATTGCTTGAGTCTTATGGGACAACCAGACAAGCAATACTATGGTTAGATGCAGAGTTTTAGGTAATCGCAGTCGTCAACTAGATCAAGTAATCGACTTCCATAGACTGCGTCGGTTTGGGCGTGTCGCACATGTCACCAAACAGATTGCTGCGCCGTTTGATGGATATAAAAAAATTACGGTAACCAGGAGCGGTGGTAAAGCGCGGATGCAGATTGAAATCTACCTGAAGTACTCGGCACAGAGGAAATTTGTTGGAAATACGTAATTGGTGAAGTTGATACCCAATTTCGCAGTCCTAGATAAAAAGAAGACAGACAGTTCATCATATAGGGACAGAAACCTGATCCGGATTTCTAGCCACCTGAGATCAAGATAGACGAGAAAAGATCAAGGAGAAGGGAACCGCTGAAGCGATTTGAGAGGAGTAGAAACCAAAATAGTAAAGACAGAAAAGAGTTAGCTAAATAACTGCCCGGTGATGGGAAAGCCAATGCAGGTTTGAGGTAAATTCGTTGATCAGCCAGATCACCTTATTTTGAATCTGGTAAAAAAGAAAAAGGGAGACAAACAGAGGGAAGTATTCATGATAAATACAGGAGGAACAGAAAATGTATGAAGCAAAGGGAAAGCAAGTCAAAAATAAATTGAAGAGAATAAGAAACACGCACCAGAGAAATTGAATGAAAAGAAGCTTTTGAGGCATTAAACTGAACATAGTTTGTAAAACCCAATGAGCAGGTGAGTCTAAAGTCGGAGGCAAGCGACGGTAAGAATGTTGTGATCATGACCGATGTTAGTATCGGCCTAGCTTATTGTTGGACAAGAACGAGAAAAATGGAGAGGGCATCATTGAGGAAAAAATGAATGGGATTGAAGGTTACAGACAAAGATTGTTAATAAATATAAGAAAGAGGGTAGAAACAGGCATCTAACTTTGGGGAACGCAGGCATTCACAAGGAACAGTCGAAAGAGGAGCCCATCAAATTTGTCGACGATGGTTCTCATGCTGAGGAAACGCTGTGGCTACGATACGATACGTGGGCGCTTTAGGCAGCAGACCCTCGTGTTTCGAGGGCCTTTGAAGTGTCGAGTGGGACTAATTGAGTTTCTCCATGGTTATCGGGGAATACAAGACGAGAGCCGGAAGTCACTCATGGAACTACCAAGGCGAAATCCTTATTGACGGTCATTCAGCAAACTTTTTTTTTCTTACCTCGGTGCTATGTTTTCACCCACCTAGCTGTCTCCACATGATCGCCCTCCAACTGTCTTCATCCATTAGAACCAACCACTGTGATGCGTTTAGCAAAAATGTGGCACGAGGACGTCAGAGTGCTAGGCAACTCGCTGATGTAAAGAAAAATAGGAGTGGCTCTAGCACTGGTTCTTGCGGGACCCTGCTAGTGTGTTGAACTGGGTTCCTGTTGTGTCCGAATCCC